TTTTCGAACGGTAAATAAACTACAAACAAACCAAGTCGCCATGTTGAAATTACGTCACAGGGGCAACTCGGACAACAAAATCTTGTCCGACTAAAACGTCATAAAAGGGGCATGTTTCCGACGGGAAGTGACGTTTTCATCCGAGTTCCGACTTGCAGAGAAATAATCGAACGCACCATTATGCCAAAGCTATCGCTAGAAATTTTACGGTGTTAAAAATTTTAAATATACATCCTGTCATATTCATACTTAAACTAAAGGAGAATCTTTATCCTTCACTCCGCAAAACTGCACAGAGCAAACGAGTATAATTCAGCAGCAGTTCCTCCTGCTGCCCTTGGGTGGCGCTGTAGCTCAAAGTCCTTAAAGCTCTCACAGCCAGATCTGTACTGCAGTTCTGCATCAGCGAATAAACGCTCTTGTACATATAAATAATCAGCACACATATCAGGCATAGCTGTGTTTATGGGGATGTTTCCGGTGAATTCAGTTCCCTGAGAATCAACTGAGACGGACACCAAGGTTTGAGTAATGTGCCATAAATGGTTTGGAGAATCCAGTCACGCTGCCGACATGGAGAGTGAAGAAACACAAGCGGACAGTTTCAGGAGAATAACCAGCCCAGTACTACAGTGTTTGATTTGCAGCATAAATATTTGTTAAGAGACAAATCTGGTTCTCTCTCTCCTCTTGGGAAATTTACACGTATTTACACTCAGAACGGGGTGGGCAAAGCAAAACAAAGGGATGAAAGACTTCCCATAATCCTTTGTGTGGTGCTCCACCGTGAATTGACCAGCTGAGGTAGACAAAACAGCTTGGGGGTCACATATAAGCGTCATGGACAGACAGTGATGGCAAAGCAAGATTTAACCTAGAAAATCGTCTGAAAATGCAATTAGAAGGTGTCCTTTGCATCAGCAGGGTCTCTGTCGGAGTGCAGTTGGGAATAAACAGTGAGGCGGAGCACCTCACCCTGGTGGCCTTAGGAATTACACAACAGTAGATGAAATGCACAGTACCCTGCATGTCTGTGGAAGAAAGGTGACTGGGTTACAGAAGGACGCAATGTCTGCTTATGCGTCCTGCTCATGTGAACTACCACGGACATGACATCAGGCACATCCTCATTCATCATGTCCATCATAAGTGTTCCCACCCCCCAATGAACCTGCAGCCCCTCCCATTTCATCACATGCCCTATCCCTATCCACAAAGCCCCGCCCATCACCTGCATCCCCACTCCCTAATGAACCTGCAGCAATATGCCAACCCATCAATGTCCAGAGCCCCTCCCCCTCATTAATCCCCACCACCCTGACACACCCACCCTTAGTGTCGTTGAGTGGGTCCATGTGCCGGTAGATGTATCCTTCTAGGTAGGAGTGGAACTTGGGTGTTGGGGGGAAGAAGGCCAGGCAGATGGCCATCAGCTCCCAGCCGCGCTCCAGGCTGTCGTAGCGGAAGTTCTCCGTGGTCTGCCGGCACAGCTGGATGTAGAGCTCGTCGCGGAGGCCCTGGCAGCTCCAGCCGCGCACCACGATCTCCAGCGCCACACTCAGCGGTTCCAGCTTGGTGCGCCGGTCACCCATGTACATCTGGATGAGCTTGAAGATCTCCACGGCCTCCTTCTTCACGGAGCGGTCCGACGTGACGATCATGGGCTTCTTGATGGGCTCGCTGCTCCATGCCAGCATGTTGGCGATGGAGACCTTACGCCGGAACAGTCCCTGCGGGTAAAGGTGACCGTCCCGTGACACATGGAGAACCAGGGCAAAGTTGTGCCTAAGGGCCAGGTCAGGCCAGACTCTCTGGAGATGTGGGACATGTGGTTGTTCAGGATGACCTAAATCCCAGCCCAGGATCTTCTAAATATTCTCTAAATATTCAGCATGGACATACTGAGGACCCCCGTGTGTGTTGGCGTATGTGGGATCATGTTACGGAGGCGTGATTTTAGCTTGTGACCGAACCTGGTGTAAACGCAGCTCTTGGAGTGCATCTTCTCGCACCAGGTGGATGCTGAGAACTCTCCAGTCTCCCAGCTCTCTGGAGTTGCCCGCGTGAGTGCGTGTGTGCGCATACGTGTGCATGTGCGTACCTGCGTGTGCTTATTGAAGTGCTTGGACGCCCAGTTCTCGATGTCGGTCTCGGAGGATGGCTTGCGCAAGCAGAATTCCGGGAAGACCCCGCAGCTGGCGCTGGGGATCAGGTTGCGGGCGTTTCGGCTGGCTTCGAACTGGGCGCACGCCCCAAGGTCCTCCGACTGGTGGGCGCGGCGTTGGGTGAGACAGTGAGAGCAGGGGATTCTTTAGCTAATGAGTTAATGCCTTATGAACCACCAAAATCATAGCACACTGTACACAAATAAATCCGCAGGGAGCACAGAGTGAGCAAATGCTGAGGGGAAAGATGAAAAGAGATGAAGGACAACAAAAGAGGGAAAAGAGAAGATACAGAAACACAGGATAGAAAAACAGAGGTAAAGGGAGGAGATGTGAGGTGTGTGTGGGTATGTCCCTCCCCCGTGAGGTTTCCGTGTGTGGGCATGTACCTCCTCCTGTGAGATGCATGGGCGTGTCCCTCCTCCTGTGAGGTATTTGTGGGTGTGTTTCTCCCCCTGTGAGGTTTCTGTGTGTGGGCATTTCCCTTCTCCTGTGAGATGTGTGGGCATGTCCCTCCTTCTGTGACATGTGGGGGCGTGTCCCTCCTCCTGAGATGTGGGGGCGTGTCCCTCCCACTATGAGGTATTTGTGGGTGTGTTTCTCCCCCTGTGAGGTTTCTGTGTGTGGGCATGTCCCTTCTCCTGTGAGATGTGTGGGTGTGTCCCTCCTCCTGTGAGATGTGTGGGCGTGTCCCTCCCACTGTGAGGTATTTGTGGGTGTGTTTCTCCCCCTGTGAGGTTTCTGTGTGTGGGCATTTCCCTTCTCCTGTGAGATGTGTGCGCATGTCCCTCCTTCTGTGACATGTGGGGGCGTGTCCCTCCTCCTGAGATGTGGGGGCGTGTCCCTCTCACTGTGAGGTATTTGTGGGTGTGTTTCTCCCCCTGTGAGGTTTCTGTGTGTGGGCATGTCCCTCCTCCTGTGAGATGTGGGGGCGTGTCCCTCTCACTGTGAGGTATTTGTGGGTGTGTCCCTCCCCGTGAGGTGTGTGTCCCTTTGCCCTGCAAGTCCCTCCCCACCTGTGAGGGGTGAAGGTAGGGCTCGGGGGAGGCCAGGTTCGTCTGCACAGACAGGCTCTTCTCCAGCAGCGCCTGAGGAAAGCCCAGCCTCTCGAAGGCGCTGCGTTTCCAGGGGTGCCCGTCGTGCTGGGCCAGCGCCTCGTCCTCACTGAAGGCCCGCACCACGGGCCCAGGCAGGGGCGCCGGCGCCGCCCCGTCGCTCTCGTACCCGTCTTTGGCGCTTTGCGGCGTGGTGCTCAGGGGTGTGCCTGGGGCCCGGCCGGCATCCCAGCTGCCGCGCTGCCGCATCTGCTGCACCTGCTGCGCCTCCCAGGCCAGGCGCGCCTGCGCCAACATCGCCTCTGTGTCGCCACCACCGCCGGGCGCCGACTCCTGCGACAGGTTGCGTGTCTTGCGCTTGCGGTTTCCGCCGCCGTTGCCACCTGCACCATTGCCCGGTGATGCCGGGCTGTCGGGGGGGGCGGCCGGGTCCTCGTAGACGAAGCGCTGCCCGGCTTTTTCGGCTACGGCCCGTGGGTCACGCACCAAAGACTGGGCATGTTGCAGGGTGCAGGACCCCCCATAGGGGGCGCCACCAGACCCACCGGGCTGGTACCTGAGCAGCCTGTCAGCCGTGCGGAACCGCGGGCTGGATCCCGACTGCTCCACATAGACAAGCTGCTTGACGTACTCCCTGCCAACCGGGCTGTACTCCAGGTTCTGGGGTTTGTCCGGACCGTGCTGCCGGGTCAGAACCAGCTGCTGATAGGGCGAAGGGCTCTGCTTGGGTGAGTGGAATAGGGAGGAGGGCTTTCCCCGGCCAGGGGAGGACGCGGGATGCTCGCCGGTGTGTTGGCACGCCGCGTCCGCCGGCGGCTCTTCGTAGATGGGGGGGTGGTACTCAGACGGTGGCTCCTCGTAAAGCGGGGGCTCATAGCCATAACGGGGGGAGGGCGGCTGCGAATCAGCGGACGGCCGGCGATAGGTCACACCATCGCTACCCAGCAGCGGCGAGCCGGCCAGCTCTGGCCGCTTCAGAAAGGGGGAGTGAACGGCAGGTGAGCCGTCGGGGTCGGGGGCCATGTTCCCCGAGGAATGGCGGGCACGGGAGGGCGGCCCTGAACCCTCGCAGAGGGTAACGCCATTGCCTTGGTGTGTCAGAAAGCTGGGCTCGTGGTCCTTCACCTTGATAAGCATACGGTCCTTCGTCCCAGTGTTCCAGCAGTAAGGCGATGTCCTGTAGGAGGCGCAAGTGTGTCATATCAGGCACAAACAGCCCCAACACCGGCAATCTGACATTCTAAATGGTGCTATGAAATCTCCTCCCAGAGAAGCAAAGGGGGTCCAGACACCCCCAGACACAGAAAAAAAATCAGATATGAAGACAACAGTGAAACTGAAGGAATTCTGGGAACTTGGAGGACTGTGATTCACAAAGAAGGGAGCTGGAACAGGATTTGAGCCTGCAGCCCTAAAGAGGTGAGTGTAGAGTCGCAACAAGAATCGGTTTAATGAGAATCAGAATGGGTTCCACTGTGAGCCCGTCTATGATGTACCTACACACTCAACAGCCAATCGGGTGCGAGGGGGTGGGGCATAAGTGTTGTGTCAATCACTAGAACAGCCAGGCGATCCTCAGAGAGTCCATCATTAATGCGGGGTTGTCCTCACGTTAACCTCCGCATGCAGGACGCGAGCGAGTGGCCCAGCCCTCGCCATCTGGGTTGCTGCCTGCGGCCGGGGCCTCAAAGCGCCCGCCGATGCCCGCTCTTTCATGGAGGCCAGCTGCGCAGCTCCAGCGGCCCCTCAGCTGAGGATGTCATTATGGGCGATAACGAGTCGAGAGCCCCCCCCCGCAGCTTCGGAAAAGGCGCGGACCCTCTTGAGCGAGCCCCGCAACGCTTGTGCATAAACGGCTTTCATGGTTGCGTCATCGGCCAGCTAGCCCGAGATACTTCATTTCGAGTTTGCGTTACGCAACTGTGATTGGGAAGCATTCATGCCCGAAGATGTTATACCACCAGTGGAATCGAACGGCCCGTCCCAAACGTCTCACCCCGGCCACTGAGCCCTGCCCCCTTGCCGTGATGTACTGCAAATATCGATATAACGGCTAAGATCCAAACTATCATGCCACCGAAAACAAATTCATTACCCGTAAAGAATAACCGCCGTATAATAGGTTTATAGATGACTTCCATGGCAACGGCCTGAACCACGTGCTTAACGGCTAGCCTGAAATCTGAGCATGAAGGATCAGGGCTTAATTAGATTATATAAAGTAGTCAATATAAGTCACAGCCCTGCATACCGAAAGGCAGAATTTAGACCGGGTGGGGGGGGGGGGGGGGGGGGGTGACAAAGAGGCACGTATACAGGGATAATTCTAGGATTTTTTTAGGGTGGAGGCATAAGAGGGGTCATAATTCATACGGAGGGGCCTATCTTATCATTAGCCAATGACATGTTTTGAAATGGTGAATGACAGGGGAGGGGGCGCTCTGGCAGCCAATCACCTTTGAGCTGGAGTCACTGCCCCTGTGGCCCCGCCCCTGTATACACCCTTGTACATATAGATGACTGGCTATAGTTGCTAAGGCGACAGAATATGAGGCTGGGGGGAGGGGGGGGGACGTTTCTGCCTTGTTGTATCAGGAGTGCCTGATCGCTGTCTGGCCCATTCAGCAGTGGGCGCCCCCATGCCGAGTATGCCCACCCCCAGGGGGACAGTGTTCCTGGAAGCGAGGCATGCTGGGAAATTAAATCAGGATGTCTGCACCCCCCCTTAGCAGAGGGGCTTTACTACAAGGTCCTCTGTTTCACTGAGTCCCCTGGAATTAAATCTGTGTGTGTGTGTGTGTGTGTGTGTGATGCGTGCTCGCTGCGACATTAAATCAAACTTCCTTTAGAGCAATTTCCGGGCCTGTCCGCTGAGTGTTCACCTAACCATTTCTCCACGTCACCCTCCACTCTCCCGAAAATTTAGGCCGGTCCTAATTAGCTATCATTCTCATTCCGGCATCGTTTACCCCGAACACAAACCTGGCGCCGGCTCCAAAATAGCACACTTTATGCTGTACGTCCTCTCATTAAGGGGAGAGGGAGACGCAGATGATTTACCACACGGCGCTCAGCTGCAAAGGTGAGGGGGGAGCGGTTCTGTTCAGGCTTGGGCTGGGGCCTGGATTCCATCCCGAACCCTGCATAAGGAGCTAAGATCTACAGACTTAATTGGAGACTGACTTTGTACTTACTTCCTCATCCAATTAATCAATTATGGCCCAATTGCCACACCTCATGAAAATCATTGCCGTCATTCTGAGGAGGAAGCTGAGCTCCCCGAGCCCCCTCACCTCTCTCTCTCCTCCTTCCCCCCCTCACCTCTCTGTCTCCTCCCCCCCCCCAGCNGGGTCCATGTGCCGGTAGATGTATCCTTCTAGGTAGGAGTGGAACTTGGGTGTTGGGGGGAAGAAGGCCAGGCAGATGGCCATCAGCTCCCAGCCGCGCTCCAGGCTGTCGTAGCGGAAGTTCTCCGTGGTCTGCCGGCACAGCTGGATGTAGAGCTCGTCGCGGAGGCCCTGGCAGCTCCAGCCGCGCACCACGATCTCCAGCGCCACACTCAGCGGTTCCAGCTTGGTGCGCCGGTCACCCATGTACATCTGGATGAGCTTGAAGATCTCCACGGCCTCCTTCTTCACGGAGCGGTCCGACGTGACGATCATGGGCTTCTTGATGGGCTCGCTGCTCCATGCCAGCATGTTGGCGATGGAGACCTTACGCCGGAACAGTCCCTGCGGGTAAAGGTGACCGTCCCGTGACACATGGAGAACCAGGGCAAAGTTGTGCCTAAGGGCCAGGTCAGGCCAGACTCTCTGGAGATGTGGGACATGTGGTTGTTCAGGATGACCTAAATCCCAGCCCAGGATCTTCTAAATATTCTCTAAATATTCAGCATGGACATACTGAGGACCCCCGTGTGTGTTGGCGTATGTGGGATCATGTTACGGAGGCGTGATTTTAGCTTGTGACCGAACCTGGTGTAAACGCAGCTCTTGGAGTGCATCTTCTCGCACCAGGTGGATGCTGAGAACTCTCCAGTCTCCCAGCTCTCTGGAGTTGCCCGCGTGAGTGCGTGTGTGCGCATACGTGTGCATGTGCGTACCTGCGTGTGCTTATTGAAGTGCTTGGACGCCCAGTTCTCGATGTCGGTCTCGGAGGATGGCTTGCGCAAGCAGAATTCCGGGAAGACCCCGCAGCTGGCGCTGGGGATCAGGTTGCGGGCGTTTCGGCTGGCTTCGAACTGGGCGCACGCCCCAAGGTCCTCCGACTGGTGGGCGCGGCGTTGGGTGAGACAGTGAGAGCAGGGGATTCTTTAGCTAATGAGTTAATGCCTTATGAACCACCAAAATCATAGCACACTGTACACAAATAAATCCGCAGGGAGCACAGAGTGAGCAAATGCTGAGGGGAAAGATGAAAAGAGATGAAGGACAACAAAAGAGGGAAAAGAGAAGATACAGAAACACAGGATAGAAAAACAGAGGTAAAGGGAGGAGATGTGAGGTGTGTGTGGGTATGTCCCTCCCCCGTGAGGTTTCCGTGTGTGGGCATGTACCTCCTCCTGTGAGATGCATGGGCGTGTCCCTCCTCCTGTGAGGTATTTGTGGGTGTGTTTCTCCCCCTGTGAGGTTTCTGTGTGTGGGCATTTCCCTTCTCCTGTGAGATGTGTGGGCATGTCCCTCCTTCTGTGACATGTGGGGGCGTGTCCCTCCTCCTGAGATGTGGGGGCGTGTCCCTCCCACTATGAGGTATTTGTGGGTGTGTTTCTCCCCCTGTGAGGTTTCTGTGTGTGGGCATGTCCCTTCTCCTGTGAGATGTGTGGGTGTGTCCCTCCTCCTGTGAGATGTGTGGGCGTGTCCCTCCCACTGTGAGGTATTTGTGGGTGTGTTTCTCCCCCTGTGAGGTTTCTGTGTGTGGGCATTTCCCTTCTCCTGTGAGATGTGTGCGCATGTCCCTCCTTCTGTGACATGTGGGGGCGTGTCCCTCCTCCTGAGATGTGGGGGCGTGTCCCTCTCACTGTGAGGTATTTGTGGGTGTGTTTCTCCCCCTGTGAGGTTTCTGTGTGTGGGCATGTCCCTCCTCCTGTGAGATGTGGGGGCGTGTCCCTCTCACTGTGAGGTATTTGTGGGTGTGTCCCTCCCCGTGAGGTGTGTGTCCCTTTGCCCTGCAAGTCCCTCCCCACCTGTGAGGGGTGAAGGTAGGGCTCGGGGGAGGCCAGGTTCGTCTGCACAGACAGGCTCTTCTCCAGCAGCGCCTGAGGAAAGCCCAGCCTCTCGAAGGCGCTGCGTTTCCAGGGGTGCCCGTCGTGCTGGGCCAGCGCCTCGTCCTCACTGAAGGCCCGCACCACGGGCCCAGGCAGGGGCGCCGGCGCCGCCCCGTCGCTCTCGTACCCGTCTTTGGCGCTTTGCGGCGTGGTGCTCAGGGGTGTGCCTGGGGCCCGGCCGGCATCCCAGCTGCCGCGCTGCCGCATCTGCTGCACCTGCTGCGCCTCCCAGGCCAGGCGCGCCTGCGCCAACATCGCCTCTGTGTCGCCACCACCGCCGGGCGCCGACTCCTGCGACAGGTTGCGTGTCTTGCGCTTGCGGTTTCCGCCGCCGTTGCCACCTGCACCATTGCCCGGTGATGCCGGGCTGTCGGGGGGGGGCGGCCGGGTCCTCGTAGACGAAGCGCTGCCCGGCTTTTTCGGCTACGGCCCGTGGGTCACGCACCAAAGACTGGGCATGTTGCAGGGTGCAGGACCCCCCATAGGGGGCGCCACCAGACCCACCGGGCTGGTACCTGAGCAGCCTGTCAGCCGTGCGGAACCGCGGGCTGGATCCCGACTGCTCCACATAGACAAGCTGCTTGACGTACTCCCTGCCAACCGGGCTGTACTCCAGGTTCTGGGGTTTGTCCGGACCGTGCTGCCGGGTCAGAACCAGCTGCTGATAGGGCGAAGGGCTCTGCTTGGGTGAGTGGAATAGGGAGGAGGGCTTTCCCCGGCCAGGGGAGGACGCGGGATGCTCGCCGGTGTGTTGGCACGCCGCGTCCGCCGGCGGCTCTTCGTAGATGGGGGGGTGGTACTCAGACGGTGGCTCCTCGTAAAGCGGGGGCTCATAGCCATAACGGGGGGAGGGCGGCTGCGAATCAGCGGACGGCCGGCGATAGGTCACACCATCGCTACCCAGCAGCGGCGAGCCGGCCAGCTCTGGCCGCTTCAGAAAGGGGGAGTGAACGGCAGGTGAGCCGTCGGGGTCGGGGGCCATGTTCCCCGAGGAATGGCGGGCACGGGAGGGCGGCCCTGAACCCTCGCAGAGGGTAACGCCATTGCCTTGGTGTGTCAGAAAGCTGGGCTCGTGGTCCTTCACCTTGATAAGCATACGGTCCTTCGTCCCAGTGTTCCAGCAGTAAGGCGATGTCCTGTAGGAGGCGCAAGTGTGTCATATCAGGCACAAACAGCCCCAACACCGGCAATCTGACATTCTAAATGGTGCTATGAAATCTCCTCCCAGAGAAGCAAAGGGGGTCCAGACACCCCCAGACACAGAAAAAAAATCAGATATGAAGACAACAGTGAAACTGAAGGAATTCTGGGAACTTGGAGGACTGTGATTCACAAAGAAGGGAGCTGGAACAGGATTTGAGCCTGCAGCCCTAAAGAGGTGAGTGTAGAGTCGCAACAAGAATCGGTTTAATGAGAATCAGAATGGGTTCCACTGTGAGCCCGTCTATGATGTACCTACACACTCAACAGCCAATCGGGTGCGAGGGGGTGGGGCATAAGTGTTGTGTCAATCACTAGAACAGCCAGGCGATCCTCAGAGAGTCCATCATTAATGCGGGGTTGTCCTCACGTTAACCTCCGCATGCAGGACGCGAGCGAGTGGCCCAGCCCTCGCCATCTGGGTTGCTGCCTGCGGCCGGGGCCTCAAAGCGCCCGCCGATGCCCGCTCTTTCATGGAGGCCAGCTGCGCAGCTCCAGCGGCCCCTCAGCTGAGGATGTCATTATGGGCGATAACGAGTCGAGAGCCCCCCCCCGCAGCTTCGGAAAAGGCGCGGACCCTCTTGAGCGAGCCCCGCAACGCTTGTGCATAAACGGCTTTCATGGTTGCGTCATCGGCCAGCTAGCCCGAGATACTTCATTTCGAGTTTGCGTTACGCAACTGTGATTGGGAAGCATTCATGCCCGAAGATGTTATACCACCAGTGGAATCGAACGGCCCGTCCCAAACGTCTCACCCCGGCCACTGAGCCCTGCCCCCTTGCCGTGATGTACTGCAAATATCGATATAACGGCTAAGATCCAAACTATCATGCCACCGAAAACAAATTCATTACCCGTAAAGAATAACCGCCGTATAATAGGTTTATAGATGACTTCCATGGCAACGGCCTGAACCACGTGCTTAACGGCTAGCCTGAAATCTGAGCATGAAGGATCAGGGCTTAATTAGATTATATAAAGTAGTCAATATAAGTCACAGCCCTGCATACCGAAAGGCAGAATTTAGACCGGGTGGGGGGGGGGGGGGGGGGGGGTGACAAAGAGGCACGTATACAGGGATAATTCTAGGATTTTTTTAGGGTGGAGGCATAAGAGGGGTCATAATTCATACGGAGGGGCCTATCTTATCATTAGCCAATGACATGTTTTGAAATGGTGAATGACAGGGGAGGGGGCGCTCTGGCAGCCAATCACCTTTGAGCTGGAGTCACTGCCCCTGTGGCCCCGCCCCTGTATACACCCTTGTACATATAGATGACTGGCTATAGTTGCTAAGGCGACAGAATATGAGGCTGGGGGGAGGGGGGGGGACGTTTCTGCCTTGTTGTATCAGGAGTGCCTGATCGCTGTCTGGCCCATTCAGCAGTGGGCGCCCCCATGCCGAGTATGCCCACCCCCAGGGGGACAGTGTTCCTGGAAGCGAGGCATGCTGGGAAATTAAATCAGGATGTCTGCACCCCCCCTTAGCAGAGGGGCTTTACTACAAGGTCCTCTGTTTCACTGAGTCCCCTGGAATTAAATCTGTGTGTGTGTGTGTGTGTGTGTGTGATGCGTGCTCGCTGCGACATTAAATCAAACTTCCTTTAGAGCAATTTCCGGGCCTGTCCGCTGAGTGTTCACCTAACCATTTCTCCACGTCACCCTCCACTCTCCCGAAAATTTAGGCCGGTCCTAATTAGCTATCATTCTCATTCCGGCATCGTTTACCCCGAACACAAACCTGGCGCCGGCTCCAAAATAGCACACTTTATGCTGTACGTCCTCTCATTAAGGGGAGAGGGAGACGCAGATGATTTACCACACGGCGCTCAGCTGCAAAGGTGAGGGGGGAGCGGTTCTGTTCAGGCTTGGGCTGGGGCCTGGATTCCATCCCGAACCCTGCATAAGGAGCTAAGATCTACAGACTTAATTGGAGACTGACTTTGTACTTACTTCCTCATCCAATTAATCAATTATGGCCCAATTGCCACACCTCATGAAAATCATTGCCGTCATTCTGAGGAGGAAGCTGAGCTCCCCGAGCCCCCTCACCTCTCTCTCTCCTCCTTCCCCCCCTCACCTCTCTCTCTCCTCCTTCCCCCCAGCGTTGACGTTGACATTGGCGTTGGGTGCCTCCTGCTCCAGCGAGGAGGAGGTGCTGCCGTGGCGACTGAGCGGCGGCGGAGGCGAATCGGAGGTCTGCTTGAGCGTCTGCAGCTTAGCCAGGGGGATGATGTCGCAGTCGTGGGGCCGGTGCCACACGGTGCGCTGGGACGCGGCGCTGTAGTAGTAGAACCTGGACGTGTTGGGGTCGAACAGCTCCCACCACTGGTCGTCGCCCGAGCGCTTGATGCGCACGCCCTGCGGCGGGTCCCACACGCACTCGCCCGTCAGCAGGTTGGCGTACATGCGCTCCCGCGTGCGCGGCTCGATGATCTCCACCCACTCCAGCCTGTAGGGGGCGACAGCGATACGCCACCAACTTCTTATATGTGCTTGTGATCTCTTTAAACAGTTAAATTCATCCAGCTTAAAAAAGAAACTTAAACATACTAAATAAATAAATGCATTTAAGCTGGCATAAGCATCATTATAACCTTTTAAAAATCATTAGACCCTGGCCACATGCCCCCCCCCCCCCCCTTCCTGCTGAGGGAATACAGACAGGACTGGATAAAAGAGGCAGATCCTGCTATCTGGATCAGCTTCAAACACGCCTGTCAGCTTCTTGTACCGGCGCCGGCGAACAGCTCCGGAAGAATCTGCCGAGGGCTTTGCAGGGTAACCCTCCCGACTGCAAATGACACCGCAGCTGGGTCCTCTCTGCATCCCTGGTCTTTTCATCTTTTAATGTCAGATTCTACGCAATTTTAAGGCCTCGGTTCGTTCAGCTGGGCCGCAAGCGCACTTGGGGCCACGTTACCGTGGCCAGTGGTGATGTATGTCTGTCACGGTGACGTTACCAAGCAGTTCACAGGTGAAACGAGAGCCACACGCTGGCCATGGGTGTGTGGCGCTGGCATACGTCACCGATCCCCGTTCCCACACACCTTCTGGATCACGGTGACCGCGACGCACCTGGCCATTCATAGTCTAAGGCACTGGCGTCCCCCCCCCCCCGGGATTTTGCCACGATCAGCTGGGACTGCAGTAAAATCTCCCGGAATCAATTTTTAATCCGTTAACGAGATGTCCGCCTAACGAAGCAACGGGACGCAAGTGTGACGTGATCGACCCTCTGTCCTCCACCCCCAGCTCCAAATCCCATTCATCAATCACCCCCACCCCCCCAACTGGAAAACAAAAAAGAAGTTTTTATTGGTTTAGCTCTGGTCCCAGTGGATAGAGAGCACTGGGGGCCCATGTGACAGCGGAGACACTTATCCAAATGACGGCCGTCACGCGGGGAGGGGGGGCGATGTGGTGGATGCTCTCCTTTCTGTGTTTGTTTAAGCGGAGCTAATTCACAGGCCGGTCACGGAGGGAGCATGGGGGCGGGACAGATGAGCGCTGGGATGGAGGGAGGAGGGGATGACTGGAAGGGATGGAGCAGGAGAGCCGCGGAGAAATGGCGGTTTTGGCGGTAAAGAGGGAGCTCAGAGGGATCTACAGACCCGCATGGCCGCAGCAAATAATGGCAAGGCTCACCGACCGCTCCGGACTGCGCTCACCATGTGTCCGAAGCACTGCAGGACCAGCAGGGTGTCAGGCTGCAGGCTGGAGATGTTTTTTCAGCTGTGTACCATAACTGGGCTGTAACCCCCCCCCCCCAAAACAAAAGTTCGCAATGCCACTGTAATAAATACAGCAGATCATGCAGCACAAGCAGCCTTTATCGACTCATCTATGTGGCTTAATTCACCAGAGGCTGTGAGGATCCACAGACGCCTGGCTCACAGACACCCTGCTCACAGATGCACGGCCCCACAGACTCCCTGCTCACAGATACCCGGCCCCACAGACTCCCTGCTCACAGACGCACGGCCCCACAGACTCCCTGCTCACAGACGCACGGCCCCACAGACTCCTGGCCCCGCAGACTCCCTGCTCACAGACTCCCTGCTCACAGATGCCCGGCCCCACAGACTTCCTGCTCACAGATGCCCGGCCTCACAGACTCCCTGCTCACAGATGCCCGGCCCCACAGACTCCCTGCTCACAGATGCCCGGCCCCACAGACTCCCTGCTCACAGATGCACAGCCCACAGACACACGGCCCCACAGACTCCCTGCTCACAGACTCCCTGCTCACAGATACCCGGCCCCACAGACTCCCTGCTCACAGACTCCCTGCTCACAGATACCCGGCCCCACAGACTCCCTGCTCACAGATGCCCGGCCTCACAGACTCCCTGCTCACAGATGCCCGGCCCCACAGACTCCCTGCTCACAGACTCCCTGCTCACAGACGCCCTGCTCACAGACTCCCTGCTCACAGACTCCCTGCTCACAGACGCCCTGCTCACAGACGCCCGGCCCCACAGACTCCCTGCTCACAGACGCCCGGCCCCACAGACTCCCTGCTCACAGACGCCCGGCCCCACAGACTCCCTGCTCACAGACGCCCTGCTCACAGACTCCCTGCTCACAGACTCCCTGCTGACAGACACACGGCCTCACAGACTCTCTGCTCACAGATACCCGGCCCGGAGACAGGCTCTCTAAGCGAGACTCGCCTGCACGCTCTGACGTCTCTAAGTGTGACCCACCCATGTTTTCCCTTCTCCTCCTTCCTTTTCAACCCCTAATGGAATGAAAAGAAATTGCCTGAGGAGTGCCGGGGTCGCCCCTCAGCGCTAACAGCCCCCCCCTCTGGCCCAGTGGGCTCGAGAACGGACCAGAGCCGTCCGTCATATCTGTACAGACCAGGCTGACCGAGGAGTTTTTGAACAAATCCTCATGAAAGCCTGTAGACACGAAACATAACTTGTGCTGACTGGGTTGGTTATATGGGGGTGGGGCTAATTTTGTGGGCGGGACTGACTATGTAAGCAAGGTTGGTTATATTTGAGCACCTGTGTGGGAGTAGGGCTAGTTATTTGTGGGTGGGGCTCCAAGACAAAGCTGCTCCCTAGCCAGGCACAATATCCTCACAATGTGCTCAGTGGCAAAGTACAACCCGGCATTCCAATCGCACCAGCATGATGGATGGACTCATTGATGGAGCAATGAGAGAGGCAGCCCCCAGGCTGTCTACTGATTAAGAGCATCGCAGGGACACAACCCAGCTATGTTTGGATTCACCGCTGCCGAGTTCAGTCGATCACCCATCAATTACCGGAGGAGTTCGCTGAGGCTAAGGGCAGCGGATAGACACAGCTTCCCGACTCGGGGCTGGCACAGCCTACCGGTAACAGGAACAGCTCACAGATTGATCTACGCAGGGCCTGCAGTACAAAACAGCTGAAGGTTTCGTTTCCAGAGGTGAGGCAGCTGCTGGTTCAAGCCCCATGACTGACTGTAGCTATCGTCTTTAGAGATGAAACCAGAAGGTTGCTGGCTCAAGCCCCATGATTGACTGATGATATCGTTTTCGGGGGTGAAACCAGAAGGTTGCTGGTTCAAATCCCATGACTGGCTGTCCTTGAATCACTCCAATAAAACGTCCAACAATATAAAAACACAATCAATTAAGTTTCTAAGAAACAAATATTTTAACGTAAAAAAAAATCAATTATTTAGCCGTATTAATCAAGAGAGATGCCTTTGAAAGACGTTCAGCATGTATAAGGATAAACTATAAACCTGCACTCTATCCTTTGGAAGAACACTTATGACACAGAGCGAGGGTATGGCTGAATCGGGGTTCACTTTCCAGATTAAAGCCAAAGGAAACAGCTGAACAGTTTTATGACCCATGTCATCGGGTGAGGGGGAGGAGAGGAGGAAGGTGACTGTGTGTGGAGATGAGTGCAGCACTTCCTCGGGAAGGAAGAAGGATGAGGGCCCAGCTGCTGGGGAAGAGGTGCACATGTGGCACACGCACGTTCACACCCACATACACACCAGACCGGGCACAGGCACGGCAACACGCAGATACACATGTGCACACAAGCGCAGACATATGGAGCCGCCCTGCATTTGCTCACGCACGCACAAATGCACACGACAGCCAGTCTCTGTTGGGTTCTAAACGACCCAAACCTACAGCAGGTTCTGTCCATTCTGCCCCATGCTGTCCTCTAAATCGTCTGTACACCTAACTTTTGGTTCTGCTTGCCTCATCCCAGGTTCCCCTATGAATTCTCAAGGTTGCTCCAAGGTCACGTGTGACCCTTGACCCCCGAGTGATCGGTCTGCATCAATCCCTCTCCCAGGCTGCGACGCAGACATTTCAGGCTGCCGATCCCAGTTGCCCCTGCAGAGGGGTGCCAGATGGGGGGGGGGGGCTCTTTAATCTCCCATACATGAGCACGCACACACACACCCGAGCCGCAAGATGCCAGGCGTCACCCTGAAGCACTCAGTTTTCATCCTGCTTCTTCCTCATGACTAGAAGCTGAAAATAGCCCCCTAGTTTGCCTTATATGGGGTCCAAATCTTTAACCCGTTTCAAGGCTGCTGTAGGAAGCCGAGGTGGAAACACGGGCCGGAACCTTCCGGACTCAGGCCTGGGGTGCTACCCTTACCACAGCCCCCTCCCCACGCCAGAAAGACACAGCTCCTTCACCTTGAACCTGAGGCAGATAGGTGTCTTTGCACAGCCCCCCCCCCCCACACACACACACACACAATGGCACAGAGCTGTTTCCATAGAGAATGGCCTCTAACTCCCAAATCCTGCTTAAATATGCTATTCCCTCTGACCCCCCCATCATCCCTAACTAGATAAAAATGGTTGAATAAGCTGGTGGGGGGGGGGGGTCAAAAAAAATAATGCAGATCTCTCGGTCACCTCCCTCCTAGCGGTGACACGGTAATTACTGCATTCTCCTTGTAATTGAAAAGCTGTCACGCTTCAATCAAGCTGTGGCTTACAAGCCGGGCAATCCGGCCTGTCACATGCCCATCCCACAAAACGGGGGACGGGAACTTCTGGGTTCTGTAGCCGCGTGACGTAGAATAAGCTGACGGCTAGACGTGTTACAAGAGAGAAGCGTGTGGCTCCGGGGTAGGTTTGGTGATCTGTTACTCGAGAAAACAAAACGGGGCGTGCACAGCAAGAACCGGGGGGCTTCTTTAACTTTGTTAACACAACTACATTTTTCTTCTGTAGACATGCAGAAGAAAGTGCAGCGTAATGAGGATTTTTCCAGGTCCTTGTCCCACAGGTGTTTTTAGAGAGAGGAAAACACGGATTCAGATGAAAAAGTGTGACAGAGCTGGTGAAGAAAGGGAGAGGGAAGGAGAGAGAGAGAGAGAGAGATAGAGGAAAGTACAAAGTTAACTAGAACTTGAGTGTGTATCAACGAGCATGAGACACAGACGCCGTCATCCAGAAATATCTCCTCA